TATATCCCTTGATATATATCCTCGAACCCTGCTTTATTCAGCATATAACATTTAGGTGCATACATATTTAACTCAACATGCTGAAAAGGCGCCCTCAGCAAATATTTGTTTTCATTATGAGATAATATGAATATTATTCAGTCTATTTTAGGAATGCCCTGCGTGCCCAAACAACTGCACGCAAGAAGATTTGATTAATGCTACTGACAACGCCACTCTTGCAGCAGAGTTTTGGGCTGACACCAATGATATTATATATAATATCATTGGCTGACACTGAATAGGTTTGTTGTCGACACGACAAGAAGAATAATTTTAGGGCTAGAAGCTTAAAAATTGATTTCTCTATTATAGCGTTTCACTCATTTAATTATTAATTTATTTATAGTCTTAGATTAATAAAGATTTATTAATGTAAGTTATAGTTAAGTTTTGTAATTTGTAGTTACTTAGTTAATAATGTGAGCCAAATAAATGTATTTTATTGTTTCATTCTTCTCTGAATACTACCAAATCAAATAATTGTATTTGCTTAAAACATGGTGGTAGGTACAATGGAATAATATATATTTTTAGATATGCATATAATGCATNTTATTAATGTAAGTTATAGTTAAGTTTTGTAATTTGTAGTTACTTAATAATGTAAGCCAAATAAATGTTTTTTATTGTTTCATTCTTCTCTGTATACTAGAGATGATACGGATATCCGGTAACTATCCGGTAGGCCGGATATCCGGCCGGATAGTGAGTTACTATCCGGTATCCGGCCGGATAGTAAATTTAGGCCGAATATTAAAAAAGTACGACATTTTCCTATTAATAAAATGAAATACATTAATCTTTGAAGTAAATATATCAATGAAATGGCTTATAATAATGACGGCTTTTATTTAAGGTCCAAAAAGTTACAAAAAGCCTTTCAAAAACCTAATTTCTTTTAATGTCGAAATATTGCCATTAAAAAAGGCTACCATTTTTTCACTGATGGTCTGGTGACATGATGCATGCAGTTCAGTCAGATTACGCAGCAAGTAAACTAATTTAATTTTCGCTATTCAGTCACACACTCGCTATAGCAACCGAAATCACCCGAATTGATCTGCCCCCTAGACTAGTGGCAAAATGTGACATTCTATTCGGAGGACTGATTCAATTTTCGAAAAGTGTTACTAGTCTAGTCTACTAATAGACCCACTGATCGCGTTCGAAGCACCTGTGCGGCGCTAAACTTGTCGGCGGATATCCGGCTATCCGGCCTAGCAGCTGGCCGGATATCCGGTATCCGGCCAAACAACTATCCGCTTCATCTCTACTGTATACTATCAAATCAAAAATTTTATTTGCTTAAAACATGGTGGTAGGTACAATGGAACAATATAAATTTTTAGATATGCATAATATAAAGGTACATATTAGTAGGATACTTACTTGGTCNTAACACACTGTGCGCTGCTTAGACCCGAAACATGAATGAACGGGGGCGTAGCTTAATCGAGCGTGTGTGTGCAAACAATTTAGGCCCTTAAGGTGTCAAGGCGTCCGAGTCCCCGATAGTACCTACAATGGAACAATATAAATTTTTAGATATGCATATAGGTACATATTAGTAGGATACTTACTTGGTCAGCAAGCAATGACCACAGATAGTACAAGCGTACTGTTTTGAACTATGTTCTGTATTATTTATACCGTCAAAACCTAAAGAATCAGCTTTTTCTTTAACAACTTCCACCTCATAATATATAGGCTTATCTTCTTCAATTTCTCTCTTGACTTCGGCCACTTCTATACTGACTCCGTCTGAATCGCTTATTGCGTTTACATTTATAACGCGTGACTTAGTTAATGGTGTGAGTAAGAAAGCCTTGTCTATCGCTGCAATATGCTGCTCAGTTAACTGAAAAGATAGTAACATTTTAAACTTAATAATATTATGTATTTTAAAAAAACATTTACATATTTTACAGGGTGGGCTTTTGTAATGCCACCTGGAGGGAAAGTAAGTCTTAACATTGTAGATAGTTTTTTTTATCAGAGAAAATATTCCTTTAGTTCTGAAAAGAAATAGAACTGCATTCAAGATTTTCAAAAATTTGCTAGCCACGCCCCGGAATTAAACCTACTAAAATCTGTTAAGAAATTACATCCTATATTTTTATTGCATCGATCGTTAGGGTTAAGTATAAGGATGAAATCTCTCTAACATACTTGATAAATCAAATGAAAGGATCTTAAATTATTTTAATTATGTACAGATATGGTATGGTAGAGAATTTTCGAAAAAAATTCGAAAATCCTTGAATACGGTTCTGTTTCTTTTAAAAAATAAAGGAATGTTTTATATAACTGGCATCACATTTTTTTTATCATTGTGGAAGTTTCTTCACCCAGATGAACAAAGTGTAATAATCCATTCAACGGACTATTCGTAAAACAATTATTAAAATATACCTGTATACCACTGCTACATAGTCGTTGAAGAACTTTGTCAGTTTTAACGGCACTTTCAATGAATTTGTGACACTTGCTCAATAAATGGTAGCAGACGTAACACACCACGTGCGGCCTTCCGTCTTTTGTTTTAAGCTGAAAAAGATAGTGCCAGGGTCTGGACCAAGTGCTGCCCAGAATCAACCCATAGTGCATTTTGTTCCTCAGGCCAATACTAATGTGTAAACTGAAGCGCACTGAAATCTATCCCTGGAGTTAAGAGAAAAAAAGAGTTTTGTTTTGAATTATTTACATACAAAATATCATCGATATATACGTACTACGCATAAGATTTCGTGATTTTGGCATTAAATAACATTCGCTATGTTAAACTTAACCATACTGCATCCGTACACCTTACTTTAGTGCGACTTAGACATTCTTTATAAGCGATCTAACACTGTTGCAATAATTTGGTTAGTTGACAGAAATCATTATTTCCAAAATGAAGCAAGAAGTTTTAGTTCTCTATCCTTGCTATTAAAAATCAATTTATTGGTGTATTATAATCGATTATTGAAGTTATTGTAAGCTAAAACTTCTTGCTCCATTTTGGAAATAATTAATTTCGGTCAACTAACTTAACCACTGAAACAGCGCTTGATCGCTTATAAATAATGTCGAAGTCATACTAAAGTAAGGTGTACGGATGCAGTATGGTTAAGTTCAACATAGCGAGTGTTATTTAATGCCAAAATCGCGAAATCTTATGCGTAGTAGGTATACATCGATGATATTTTGTATGTAAATAATTCAAAACAAAACTCTTTTTTCCTCTTAACTCCAGGGATAGATTTCAGTGCCCTCCGGTTTACAAATTAGTATTGGCCTGAGGAACAAAATGCACTATAGTTTCATTCTGGGCAGCACTTGGTCCAACTTCCATACATGGATTGGCACTGTCCTTTATCAATATCAAAAATATTTATTCAGTTTAGACCCTTATCACTTTACATGTCTCCTTATCTTTTGGGCCCTACCAGCACTTCAAGACAAACATAGGGCAAGTGCTGAGAATGTTTTAATTATTGCAGTTTATTTACTGTAATTACAAACATATAGGGCTAAAAGTGCTACAGACATAATCATATTATGTGTAGGTAATAGACAAGGCAATTAAGAAACGAACAAAATTACTAATTAATAACAATGTCCTGTCCGTCACATACATTATTGTGTCGTGTTTTTGATTTTGATTTTTTTATTTTGATTTTTTGATTTTGTCTGTTTGCTAAATCATGTGAAGAGAACAAACAATAAGTAGGTATAACTTTTTGAATCAGAAATAAATATCATTGGACAATTTTTACACTGCATTTATGTAGTCCCAAATTAAGCAAAGCTTGTACTATGGTTAGGTACCAAACAAAGGATATAAACATACATAAATACTTTTTTTAAATGCATTATTACTTAAAAAACACCCAAAAATATTTAGTAAATAAATTATACTTACAGGAAATTAATTTATTTATGAATAGGTATATACCAGTAAAACAAAGGAAACATAAATAAACATACAACTAAAAGAAGAAAAGCTAACTTACAGGTATTTTTGTGATTTTTTGATAAAGCACTTCCAGTGGCGTGTTGTACATTGTACACATACGAGTATCACGTGCCAGGCATATTCTACATAAGAGACCAGCCATTCTGTACGGCTTTTGGAGAAATATCACAAATAAATCATTATTATTTATTTCTTCTTCTTCTTCTTATAATATGGCAACGGCTTGCAATTTGTTTACTTTTTTTTGTTGTGACTTTACTTTTTTTTAATTTTCGTACAGACTTGGACTAAACCTTTTTGCCAGTTTTTTTTTTACAGTTTTCTCCATAAGATGATAAGACCCGGTTTCCACCAAAGCGGAGCGTAGCAAACTGGATCGAAGCAGAGCGAAGAAGTGTTGGCCTTAGATCAACAATACCAACTAGATATCAGAAAGTGAGTTTTTTTATTGTAATTATGCTCTTTTTCCTCTGGCATCAATTTAATTTAATAAAAGTCTTTAAAATTCACAGTCATGTGAGTTGGCGTTAGTTAAAAATAAGAGTAACTTCTCAGTGCGCTCTTATTTCCCCAGACATAATTTTTGCGCTCCGGATCGGACCCTCAATTTTTTTTACAAATTTTAACAGCGGCGGCTGCGCGGCACGGTTCGGCGTCGGAGCTGTATTAAACTTACAGGAGAAGTGGAAATAATGAAATCTGATTGGTTATTCAAAACACTCCTCCGCTCTGCTCTGCTCCGCTTTAGTGGAAACCAGGCCTAACGCTGTATGAAAACTATAGTCGTACGTGCGGCGAACCCTTAGTATTTCTCTTCGACAAATACTTTAACACATTGTGAACCACTTTTCTTTCACGACTATAAAAATATTTTAGCAATTTAATTCATAAAACCAATTGCGCACATTTAAAATAAAGTTTGTTTACACTTTGACAGCAATAGACTGACATGCAAGGTGACATGTCTATGAAGTTTTCAGTTACTGTTGCCATTAAAAGAAATTAGTACCATTAGTTTTCCGCAACATGGCGAGGGTTTTTATGTTCCTGGTCAGGCTATAAATCAGTGATCGCGGAAGACAGAGCGCACTGTATAACGTCGAAATATACAAATCAAGAAGTTAGGTCAGTGATCGCAGTATACACTATTACTACTATGTATACGACGCCCGAGATTTTGTCGTTTAGAAATATCTTCAACTAGGTACCTGACTTAGCTTTATGAAAAAAAAACGTATTGGCAAAACTACGCATTTTTACATTTATTAAAAATAAAAAGCTTGAGTAAAATAGTCTTTATTTTATTAAAGTAGGTCATTTACTTACTAGGATATTTATAAGTATGGAATTAAGTATGAATTACTAGTAGTACTATTTAACATAATGGAATAACGATCATTACTTTCATAAACATTTGGCACAACAAAAATATTATTTGCAAATTAATAATGTAGAATTGTAGAATAACGTCTACCGCTACATAATTATTTTAATCAAAAAAAACAAAATCTACTAAAAAACATTGTTATTAGATACAGATTGATATTGTGCTGTGTACTATCCGTAATAAATAAATAAATAAATAAATAATCCACAGTCAGACTAGCTATAAATTTAACAAAATATCAGTTTTATCGGAATTAATTAATTTTTGAATCGAGTCACACGATATCATTCGATGACTTTGCGAATGCAGTATGATGATACGATTACTTTTACGTTGCGGCAATCACTAAAATTCGCTAAAATGACACTAATGACGTTTAAAAAGTGGCACGCTCGGCTTCATACAAATTTTGACACATGCTGCATCTATCCTTATCTGTGTTCGCAAGCAACGTCAAGCAACGTGCAAGCAACCAATTAAAAACCATAGAGAAAAGTAATAAATTAAAACTTTTTTTTTTGTTGTGACTTTACTTTTTTTTACTATAATTTTCGTACAGACTTAGACTAAACCTTTTTGGCCAGTAAGGCCCGGTTTCCACCAAGGCCTAAGAACCCATAGAGTTATTTAAGAACCCTAAGACCAAGGATGAGATAAGGCGTAGTGGAGCAAAATGGAGGGAAGCAGAGCAAAGAAGTGTTGAGCCTTAGATCAACAATATAAAACCGTCTCGGGAAATAAGAGCACACTTGAAAAGTGAGTTCTTTTATTTTTTATTGTAATTAACTATGTTCTTTTTTCTTTTTTTCCGGCATCAATTAAAAATATTATATTTTAGTCTTTAAAATTCCCATGTACACCCCGCTTACTGTGAGTTGGCGTCAGTTAAATGATCAGTTACTTCTCAAGTGCGCTCTCATTTCCCGAAACAAAAAATATGTCTTCATCGTATTCGATCATTAAGTACCTACCTAAGCATTAAGAACATAATTATTAAGTGTCGGGTAGTCAAATTTTTCTATAGAATTTGACAGCGGCGGCGGCGCGGCGCTTGGCGGAGCTGCGATGAGTGATGAGCGGACAGGAGAAGTGGAAATAAAGAAATGATTGGTTATTCAAAACACTCCTCCGTCTGCTCCGTTCTGCTCCGCTTTGGTGGAAACAAAGTGCACTTTTTAATCGCAAACCAGTCGAAAAATGGTCGAATGGCCTTTTTTTGTAGTTTTGACAGATTCGATGAAAAAGTGCAACTTGTCTAGGGAGGCTGGCCTAACGCCCAGTATGAAAACTAGTCGAACATGCGGCAAGCAAGTGTGCCACTGTGGTGCCTAAGTTTAAATTACTTTGCTCTATGCTGTGGTATGGCTGTTGTGGCTCGCTGCAGCGCTTCTTCACGCTTCTAAGGCCTGGTTTCCATCAAAGCGGAGAGATATCTGCTCGATATAATTATTTCTGTTTATAAATGATACAAGTTTTTTAGTTTAGTAAACTTTATTAAGGCGTCATGTTACTTATGTAAATTTTTAGGTATCCTTCCGTTTGGCCAAATTACTTTTCGCCAAATTTCACTTCGCAAACAACTTATCGCCAAAGTTTCATTTCCCAAATAAACTTTTAGCAACTGTACTATTCGCAACTAATTCATTTGGTCAAATTAACATTTG